GGTTGATGTCGAGGTTCCTGCTGATGAAGATGATTCCAGTGATGAAGATGATTCGGGTATGTATATTGTTAAAAGCTCAGTTAGATCTTTTCATTTATATCCTGTTTCAAGATGTTGTTTTGTTGTTTGTTCATTTTTTAATGTTATGATAATGGTAATTAAACTGTTATTCTTCCTTATTTAATTCCCTAAACAGCAGAAAGCACCTCCAAGGAAGAAAGCGAGGATGAAGATGAAGAAAAGAAGCCCAAGACAAAGACAGTGAAGGAAACAACTTATGAATGGGAACTTTTAAATGATGTTAAAGCTATATGGCTGAGGAATCCAAAGGAGGTTACAGAAGAAGAATACACCAAATTTTACCACTCTCTTGCCAAGGTAATATTGCCTTGTTCATTATTTATATAATACCTCAAGGGAATTGTTTGTTAAATTTACTTCACTTTAAGTTTGTTAATATTAATTAAGTTGTTGATTTATGTTTTGTGCAGGATTTCAGTGATGAGAAACCTTTATCATGGAGTCACTTCACTGCTGAAGGAGATGTCGAGTTCAAGGCAGTTCTGTTTGTACCACCTAAGGCACCTCAAGATTTGTATGAGAGCTATTATAACGCAAACAAATCCAACCTGAAGCTGTATGTTAGACGAGTGTTCATTTCAGATGAATTTGATGAACTGCTGCCTAAGTACCTGAACTTTTTGAGGGTAAGGATGAGTTTCTCTTGTTGTTGCAGATAAATATATTTTATGAGAATAGGAATAGTTTTTGGTAAATAATGTTACTTTTGACATTGGGAACAGGGTCTTGTTGATTCTGACACATTGCCACTTAACGTATCGAGAGAAATGCTTCAACAACACAATAGTCTTAAGACAATCAAGAAGAAACTTATTAGAAAGGCCCTTGATATGATCCGTAGGATTGCAGATGAGGATCCTGACGAGTCCACTGACAAAGAAAAGAAAGGTATGGTGCAATAATTATGGGTTGCTTCTGTTGGAATCCCTATTATTTTTTATTGGTTAAGGTTGACCAAATCACGTGTATTAGTCCTATAATTCTAGGCTTGCTGTGTGTCAAATAATCAATTCTTTTTGTTATTTTGTTGCGGAGTCCTATAATTCTAGGCTTGCTGTGTGTCAAATATGTCACCTCTTGCCTTCCTAGGCATGATTCCATCAGGAAGGCCCAACATGATATCAAAACAAGCCAAAATAGCATCAGAAGACCCAAAGCTCAAAAAGACAGAATTAGGAGCTTAGAACGGGTCGTTCCAGATTCAGAATGAGTAGTTCCAGATTTGAAACAGTCATTTCTAGATGAATAAAAAGGCCTAGAAATCCTAGGTCAAAACGAGTCGTTCCCAATTCGGAACAGGCCATTTTAACCCATAAATTTGTATGTAGAAAGGCAGTTGGAAATGGCATGTTTAAAAATCAAAACAGCCCATTTCCCAATTCAAAAATTAGCTTGAAACCCTAGCTTGGAAAGGCCCGTTTTAAAACCCGGAACGACCATTCTAGTTACCCTAACACCTATAAATAGGTGTCTCGCACAGTGCAAGAAGACTAGGGAGAATTTGCCATCTTTGACCCATTTTCTGTAGTTTTAGCTTAGAAATCTCTTCTCTCTATCTTTTGTATTTCTTAAGCATTGGTGAGGTCATTTGGTGTGTGAAAGGCAACCAAAAAACACCTAACCCCCCCATTTGAAAAGGATTCTATAAAGCTCACTTCGAAGGTATTTTTGTAATTCCCATCTCTGTCTTATTTAAATTGCTTTATGTACATAACTTTGCCATAGATAAAAAATAATCATGTAGACATACTATTTTCAAACGTGTGGGGTTTAATCCCCTTACCTTTTTTATATATATAAGTAACCGTAAGTGAATATAACATGTAAATAACCAATAAAAAGGGGAATAAATATCCAAAATCTTATTCTTTATTATACTAATTTCATCATAGGGTACCTATTTAAGGCATTGTAGGGTGCTCAATACCTTTCCTACACGTAACCGACCCCCAAGTCCAATTCTGGCTATGAAGGCCATAATTGACTTTTTAAAAACCTTTCCTTTTTCCTATGTTTTGAGTAAAACATCAATGGCGACTCCTTCAAACTTTTTCAAAAACCATTGATTAGGGATTAGTCTAGTTGTCAAGCATTCCCTAATCAATGAGATTTTCAAAATGAAAGTCCAAACCATCTGTGGGAAGGATCAAAATTTTTCGGATTCCAACACTTGTCACCACAGGGAAGACGATGAAGACAAACAAAGCAAACTTGTGAGCTAAAGTGTTGCAATGGTCATCATCTCTAAGCATTGTATAAGAAGATGAAGATTCAAAGCTCAAGAGAAAGAAAGACATAATTTTCCTAGAGAAACACTAATTGTAATACATTTGTACAGAAAAACTCTCTAAAAATTTATTCTTTCTTGTATACATTATTTGCTCTTTAATCGGTTGTATAATGTCTAAGTGAGACGAACACAGCATTTGAGAAATCTTTATAACCATTTTTTAAGGTTGAGCCTAAAGAGGTTTGTTTTTAAAAGAATACATGGGTTAAGCCTGGAGAGGCTTGTTGTTGAAAGAATACTTGGGTAGGGGCTTAAAAAGGTCAATCAAAGAACACTTTTGTAGAGCTTGGAAAGATTTGACTGTAAAAGAATACTTGGGTAGTGGCTTGAAGAGATTAGTCAAAGAACACTTATTGTTGGACCAAAAGTGGCTTGGGAAAGAATACTTGTAACTTTGAGAAAGTTAGTGGAACTCAATCTAGTTGGATTGAGCAATGTATGTAGTCTTTGTGTTTGAGACGAACCAGAATAAAAATACTCAATGTTCCATTTATTATTTTGATTACTCTTCCAATACTTTGTTTGTTGTAAATTCTACTTTACTCTCTTGCGAAAAGTGCAAGCTTTTTATAGTCACCATTCACCCCCTTCTAATGACTATCTTTTCTCCATAGTTTGGTATTAGAGCTTAGTCTTTGACAGGTTTAAGCATTTAATTATTCTAAAGGAAAAAGATCTAGATGGAAAGTAGTGAAGACCAATATCTAACAGAAAGAGCTTATCTTACAAGGCCTCTAACCTTTAATAAAGACGACTACTCGTACTGGAAGGACTGAATGAAAATGTTTATAAAGTCCACACAGTACCCCCTATGGAAGGTAATAACACAAGGTAACATTGTTGTTACAAGGCTTGAGACACAATATACATAGAATGACTACACAGAAAAAATTGGTCTAAAACCCTAATTTGGAATGACTTGTTCCCAAAGCCTATTTATGTGCAAATTTAAGGGCCAAAACTGCCGTTCCGAGCTTGGGAATGGCTATTCCATGCCTCTGGGTTCCTATAAAAGGGTGCATAGGGCTCAATCTTCAACACACACTACTGAGTTGACATTGTGGCTTTAGTAAAGGGAGTGAGATATTTTATGTTATACTTGTTTTTGTTTGTGTTTGGCTATTTGGCATATATTTCTACACTGTGAGTCAGAGTGAGATGTTTCTCACTCCCTTTTCTCTTGTGTTGTTTTCTCTAACTGTCATACAGGTTATTATCAGCATGAGGTTGAGGATGTTGGTGATGAAGCTTAGGCTTCTATGTTGGGATTTGCTCTAATAGGACATGTGACATCGGGGCTTAAATAGGAATAGATTGGAATGTTATTTTTATTAAATCATTTTGAAAAAAACTCAGTTTCATTTCCTTGTAATTTCTCTACATGTTATTTGGATTAAGTTCATGAATGTGAACTCTTTACCCTTATGTTGTTGGAGATTTGATCGTCTTATGTTGAAGAATTGTATTTTATTTTATTTATTTTATACAATTACTATATATGTATGTTGGGGTAGAGGGTGTCACACATAGGGCTCAATCTTCAACACACACTACTAAGTTGACAAATCCCTAGCAGAAACACTCCCTTATTTTCTTTTATACTTTTTTGAGTGTTTGTGAGATCTTTATAGAGCAAAAGGCTGCCAAAATGTGCCTTTGTACCAACACTTGAGATTTCGTCTATAAAGCTTGCTTCGGAGGTATTTTTATCAAGTTTCTCTCTCTCTTCTTACTTATTTAATCGCTTTATTCATAGTATTATTGTCATGAAATAACTAGCAACCATGTAGACATCAAGTATGTAAATGGCTAATAAAAAGGGGTAAATATTTAATCATTGTTTATTATTATCCTAAACTCGTCATAGAGTACCAATTTAGGACGTTGTGGGGTGCCTAATACCTTCTCACATGTAACTGACCCCCGAACCTAATTCTAGCTATGAAGGTTATTATTAATTTTTGAAAACCTTTTCCTTTTTCCTATGTTTTGAGTAAAATGTTGGTGGCGACTCCTTCAAACACTTTTCAAAAACTACTAGTAAAGGATTAGCCTGATCTTTGGGTTAAACTAATGAGGTTTTCAAAATGAAGTCAAAATCATTTGTGGGTAAGATCGGAATTTTTCGAGTTTTGACATTGTGGCATAATCGTTTGGGACACATTTCCAAAGGATGCAAAGATTAGTAAAGAATGAAATTCTTCCATATTTAGATTTTACTGATCTAAATGTATGTGTATATTATATTAAAGGCAAACAAACAAAACACACAAAGAAATGAGCCACAAGAAGTACTCAACTTCTTGAAATTATACATGCTGACATATGTGGACCTTTTGATGTCAAATCTTTCAATAAAGAAAAATACTTTTATCACTTTTATTGACGATTTTTCACGTTATGGGGTATGTCTTTTTGTTGCATGAGAAATGTCAAACAATGAATGCCTTAGAAATTTATATAAATGAAGTGGAAAGGCAATTAGACAAAAAGGTGAAAATTGTCAAGTTAGATAAAGGTGGTGAGTATTATGGAAGATATGATGAAAGTGGACAACACCCTAGTCCATTTGCTAAGTTCCTTGAAAAATGTGATATTTGTGCTTAATACACAATGTCAGGTATACCACAACAAAATGGTATATTAGAAAGGCGTAATCGAACCTTAATGGATATGATTAAGAGAATGTTAAGCGATTCATCTTTACCCTTATCATTGTGGATGTATGCTTTAAAAACTATGTATTTGTTGAACACAGGTCTTAGTAAGAAAGTTCTAAAGACACCTTTTGAGTTATGGACACGTAAGAAACCCAGTTTGAGACACCTAAATATTTGGGGTTGTCAAGCATAAATTAAAGTATATAATCTACAAGAAAAGAAACTAGATGCAAGAATAATCAATGGGTATTTCATTGGTTATCCATAAAAATCAAAAAAAGTATATGTTTTACTGTCCGATACATAGTACAAGAATTGTTGAAACTGGAAATGCTAGGTTCATTGAGAATAGTGAAACTAGTGGGAAATATGGAGATTAAGGAAGTTAGTGTACAAGTTCCTTTAACTAGTGCTTTTATTTCAAGAATTGGTGTTCCTCATGTTGTTGAACCACACAACAATCAAGAAGAACAACAAATTAATGATCCCAAGGTTAACAATGAACCTATTGTAGAACAACCACAAGAAATAGTATTAAGAAGATCCCAAAGAGAAAGGAAATCTACTATTTCAAATGATTATGTGGTTTATCTAAAAGAGTCAGAAGATGACTTAAGCATTCATAATGATCCAGTTTCATTTTCAGAAACCATTAATGGTGATATGTCTAATAAATGGTTAGACGCCATAAAAGATGAGCTTAAACCAATGGCACAAAATGGTGTATGGGACCTTGTAGAATTGCCTAAAAGATGTAAGAGAATTGGGTGTAAATGGGCCTTTAAGACTAAGCATGAATTTCATGGCAATATCGAACGTTACAAGGCTCGACTTGTTGCTAAAGGTTTTACTCAAAAGGATGACATTGACTATAAAGAAACCTTTTCGCTAGTTTCTAAGAAAGATTCTCTCATAATTATCATGGCACCAGTAACTCATTATAATCTTGAGTTGCATCAAATGGATGTTAAAACTGCCTTTCTGAATGGGAATTTAGAAGAGGATGTTTATATGGACCAACCAGTGGGGTTCATTGAAGAAGGAAAGAGACACATGGTGTGTAAACTTAAAAAAATCAATATATGGACTTAAACATGTTTCTTGACAATGGTATCTTAAGTTTAATGATAATATTGTGTATTTTGGATTTAAGGAAAACACTATTGATCAGTGTATATATTTGAAGGTTAGTTGAAACAAGTTTATATTTCTGATTCTGTATGTTGATGACATC